CTTTAAAGAGTCTCTCTGCTGATGTTCAGGTGTATCTCAGTTATACTAGTGTCTCTTACTTTAAAGGATCCTCTCCTGCTGATGTTCAGGTGTATATCAGTATGTAGTGTCTCTACTTTAAAGAGTCCTCTCCTGCTGATGTTCAGGTGTATATCAGTATGTAGTGTCTCTACTTTAAAGAGTCCTCTCCTGCTGATGTTCAGGTGTATATCAGTATGTAGTGTCTCTACATGTCTCCAGGCTTTAATGTTCAAAAAGCTCTTTATTGTTCTCATACTGCCTGTGCTGCAGCACCTCTTTTCACCCTCTGTCTGAAACCAGAGCCCAGTCTGCTCTGATTGGTTAGCTGGCCGACCATGTTCAAAAACCTTTTCAATGCAGGAATTTTACTTAGAGTCCTTCTACAGTGTGGTATAAGTACTTTTCTCTTCAGTAAACGATATAACTTCTTCCTCCACCNTCTACTTTAAAGAGTCCTCTCCTGCTGATGTTCAGGTGTATATCAGTATGTAGTGTCTCTACTTTAAAGAGTCCTCTCCTGCTGATGCTCAGGTGTATATCAGTATGTTGTGTCTCTACATGTCTCCATGCTTTAATGTTCAAAAAGCTCTTTATTGTTCTCATACTGCCTGTGCTGCAGCACCTCTTTTCACCCTCTGTCTGAAACCAGAGCCCAGTCTGCTCTGACTGGTTATCTGGCCGGCTCTGTTGTGATTGGTCAACCGCTTAGAGATGTCCCGCCCCTTAGCCTATCGTGTACAACGTGGTCAAGCGCTAGCCAATAGGAGCGCACATTTTACATAGTGATGTCACTAGCTTTTGCAGAACATTTAAATGCAGAAAACCTATATAACGCACTAGGAAAGGGAAACTCTCAAATAAGCAGAATAGGGCACTTCTCATACTAATTTGCACCTGTTTTAAGGTCTAAAAAGTCAAATATCTCCCTTACAAATGTACACTGGGATTAAAAATGTCCATCTGCACACTCTACAATCTTCTGGTTTAACCTCAAACTTCTATCTCCATCATCTCTCCACACTTTAGAGCTGTGGTTCGACCTGTCGGCACCACAGCGCTCTCACTCAACTTTCTCCACGAGAGGAAGCTGCTAAAAGTTCAGTGTCAATGAGCCTCTTTGTATTCTACGAAGGCCCTCTTTAAAAGGAATTTCAGTGGAACGATTATTTTTAATTATAACTTCCTTTTTGTTCTCTTGGGAGTCCTTGAACATGTGGACCTTAAATAAAACAATAAAGAAAATAAAGAAAAATCACAATATACTGGCAACTTCAGGTGATTTTGAAGATGTCCATTGCTCAAAAATGTGCTTTGCTTATTGCTTCTTCACATTGATGTTTGAGGTTTTCTGCGCAGAGTTTGACTCAAAAATCCTGGGAAAGTGTCTGTGTTTCACTGAAATCTAAATGTTTTGAAATAGCTACTTTGGAAGCTTTTCATTTAAAGGGGACCTATAATGCAAAATGCACTTTTTGATGTCCTTTATACATAAAGATGTTTCCCCGGTGTGTCGGGGAACTCACGCAGCGTCAGAAAATAAAACCCTCTCTCTTTTCCTCCGTACCCAAATCTCTAAAAACGGGGGAACAACGGAGCTGATCCAGATTTGCGTCCGATATGACGTAATATCTGAAATGTGGACCCACGGCCCTATCAGAAACGTTGCTATCAGAAACAATGCCCGACTGTTTTGGACGTAATATGGTCGGTGTTTACATTAGCATCGCTAACACTCAGAGCTAACCTGTACTGGAGAGCATGTGTGTGAAGAAGCAGGAAATAAAAAGGAACTCACCTTGTGGTATAACCGGTAAGAGAGAAAGCCTTTGAGCTCCATACTGTTTCAGAGATAATCCTTGATGTGGTTTGGAACATTATGTTCTTTAATCACGGCAGCATTTAACTATAGCTGCTGGGTCATTCTGAGCAGGCATTAGCTCCGCCTCCTCTAAGGACCCCAAACCTGCAGTTCTCTAACAGGCTGAAATAGAGGGATATGAGGCATGGCTAGAATGGGTGATCTGTTTGGTATTTGGAGCAAAACACTTCATAGACATGTTTTTTATATATTGGTATATATCGGAGACTCATAATATATGCCTAAAAATAGCATAATAGGTGACCTTTAATGTTTAGTTTTGTTTCTCCTTGTGTGTGTTCTCTTTGCCAGCTTATGTTTGGTCTCCTTCTGAAATGTTTCACTGAGCTCATTCTCCTTTCTCCACGTCACCCTGTCAGTTACTGATGAACCGAGCCTACCTGGTTCTGATGGTCTGCTTCGGGTCGGGCATCGCCGCCTTCACCTGCTTCTCCACGCTGCTGGAGCAGATCCTGTGTGTGCAGGGGTACTCCAACGTGAGTGCAATGCATCATGGGGGATTAATGGGTGTTAGCTACACTAACTGATATCAAACGAGCAAGAAAAGCAGCACAGACGATTTTCCACCTCACATATATATACTTTATATGTGTTGTTATTTCAGAGTCAGAAACAGGTTTATCACCAGGTAGGGTGACACGTACGAGGAATTTGACCTGATGTCATGGTGCATACATAAAAGTAAAACAAATATTTTAAAACACAGAATGAGAACTAGAAAAATATAAAAAATGTAGTAAAATCTAACAGTATTTACTTGGGATGGAATAAAATGTGGAATACAAATGGGCAGTACTAAAAACACATATTGATGTAATGTAATTTGTGGCTGTTAGTTTACTTACTTTAATAATACTGCTATTATAACACATGTGCTTGACTCTTTTTATAACAGGTTAGCCTGCTATCTCATCTTGTCTCTTAGCTGTTGTACATATCACTGCTGTGGGACTGATACACGATTTCTGATAAAACCATTACATAGTGGAGAATTGTTTGTCTGTAAACGATACGATACAATCAATCAATCAATCAATCAATCAATCAATGTTTATTTATATAGCCCAATATCACAAATGTTACATTTGTCTCAGTGGACTTCACAGTGTGTACAGAATATCAGTATGACAATACGACACCCTCTGTCCTTAGACCCTCTGTCCTTAGACCCTCTGTCCTTAGACCCTCACATCGTACAAGGAAACACTTCCAGAGAAACCCCACAGTTTAAAGGGGAACATGGGAGAAACCTCAGGGAGAGCAACAGAGGAGGGATCCCTCTCCCAGGGCGGACAGACGTGCAATAGATGCCGTGTGTAAATCGAAGAGAGAATACATTTACAACATAGGTAGACCAAATGTTTAAAATGCATGTGTCTATAATAAGAAGATGAATCCACGAGGATGTCAACAATCCGATACAATAATACTTTAATGGTCAGATCAAGTCTGAAATGTGACGTGCATCACAGCAGCTCCATGTGTAACATCAACAGACAAACATAAAGACACAACACATGAAAAACAAACAAACATTTAACATAACAGCACGATCACTGAGAGAAAACATTTTAGGTATTGACAGCGCAAAAATGACCTTAAGTAACTGATTAGAATGAAGTAAAGACTCTCACCCACAGCAA